CCCCCCCCCCCCCCCCCCCCCCCCCGCCAGCAGGAACTACTGCTATGAATTCTGAGGGAGGCGCTCCCATGAAATCTGGATGTAGCTCCGTAGCAATGGGGGTGGTTGGCGTCTCGGGGCTCTTCGGATGGTTGAGGTTCCCCGAATTCCCATCGAGCATGGCTGAAGGCCCGATGGGGCCAGCCAGATGTTTTCGCTTGCATTTCCCATAAATCCGAGCTGCAGTTCAAAATTCCTGGAGTGGCTTCTCTGGCGCCCGTCTCCTGCAGGCCTTTCCTATCAACTTCGGAAAGGAGGGGGAAATCCTTCCTTTCCTTCTCCCAAAGATCGGAAAGCCGGGAGCTGGCTCTCGCTGTGAAGGGGCTTCGGTTGGCGTTAGGAGAAGCTTCTGATTTTCTGATTTGCCCCTTCAGAGCAAAGAGGCCAAAACCTTATTCCGCACTCAGTCTGATGCCCTCTAAGGTCTTTCCTGTTCTAACCACCCACGGAATGATAAATTTACTCTGGGTATGAAAGGTGCTACCTAGGGAGAGTGGAGAACTCTGTTCTTCGGGAGCGTTCGTAGGGAGAGTTGAACTCGACTCTGGTTGACTCTCTTGAGAGCAGCGCAGAAGGGCCCGGCCTTGTGTTCCTCTGTCTCGTTTGTCCAGCTTCCCATTCTGGGCTCCAGCTGTGGGCTTTCCTGGTGATCTCCCTTCCAGGGATTAACTAGCCCAATCCTATTTAGCCTTTGAGATTGACCAAGAGCGGGAGGAATGAGTACGGCACCAGCGTTTCCTGCAGAAACGTCCAGCTAAGAAACCGCTCTGAAATTCCAGAGAACTGCTGCCAAGCAGAGATGGTCCTCCTGGGCTAGAAGATCAGTGGCGTGAACCCGTTTCTTGGCTGCGTCCATCTCTGTGGCGCTCGGTCATTCGTAGTGGGTCCTTGGCTGGGTTCAGCAGGGAGGGTTGCTTGGCGAGCTCTTGGGCTCTCCGAAGAAGGGTCAAGCTTTCGTCTTCTGATCTCCAATCTCGGTCCTCTCCAGCTCCAAGAATGGAACGTGGAGGCTCAACATCTGATGCCCCTCCAGCCTCCGCTGGTCCCTGAGCTGAGCCACATGAGAGAAGCGCAACTGCACACCGCCGAGGCCTCGCTCTGGAGCGTCGTAGCCACGGTGCAGGCCATGGAGAGGAAGATCGACTTGCTGGCCACACGGTTGCTCAGCTTGGAAGGGCGGTCTGGGACGGCGGAGAAGAAACTCTTGGACTGCGAGAAGACAGCCATGGAGTTCGGCAACCAGCTGGAGAGCAAGTGGGCCGTCCTGGGGACCCTCATCCAGGAGTACGGCCTGCTGCAGAGGAGGCTGGAGAACGTGGAGAACCTGCTGAAGAACCGGAACTTCTGGGTCCTGAGGCTGCCCCCCGGGGCCAAGGGAGAGATCCCCAAGGTAACCGGTCCATAAAGAGAAAGGGGCGGGGTCTTGAGGGAGTGGAACGAGGAACCTTAGAAAGAGAAGGTGCTGCTTCCTCACGACAATGGGTGGCCTGGGTGACTGGGTGCCGTCTCTTCCCCGAAGCAACCAGAATGGGCTAGACCTGGGCTTGAGAACTGGTGTCTTCTCCAAGGGGGTGGCTCCCAGGTGTGATGCTGGGCCTGGAGCTTCCAGAATTCTGGGAGGCGGTGTCCCCACATGTGTTGGCTGGGAATTGCCCTCCCAGCACATCTGGAGGGGGTACCAATGTCAGGAAGGCTGGTAATCATGCTAAATAGGCACATCAACATAAAAACCGGGCCAACACTTTTTATTTCTGAATTGGTGAGGGTTTGTATCTGCTCTTCTAAGGCTGCCTTTAAAACCCAGGCAAAATTTAAAATGTTTAAAAGAAGTAAAGCTAAAGGCCAAGGGTAAATATATCTGAAATCCCAATGCAGGGCGGTTGCAGACCCTGACCTTCTGAAAAGGGAAGACCTTCCCGTTGGAACCTGAGGCAGGGAGTTCCACAGATCCCCAAGAAAGCCCTTTATCTGGCTGCCGGCAGAGACGCCTCTCCCCTGTTTGAGAAACTGAGAGGGGTCTCCCCAGAAGGGGAGAAGGTAGGCTGTATGGAAGGGTTATTTGAGGCCTCAGCCCTCTAGGACTTCACTGGTCATCACCACCCCTTGGGCTGCTTTCACACCACGCACTTAACTAAAGGTAGTCCTTCACTTATGACCACAATTGGGACTGGAACTTCTGTCGCTCAGCGATGCAGTCGTTAAGTGAGTTGTGCCTGATTTTACAAGCTTTTTTGCCGCAGTCGTTAAGCAAATCACAGCGGTTGTTAAGCGAATCTGGCTTCCCCCATTGACTTTGCTTGTCGGAAGCTGGCTGGGAAGGTCGCAAATGGCGATCACGTGACCCCGAGTCGCTGCAACCGCTGTAAATACATGCCGGTTCCCCAGCACCTGAATTTAGATCACGTGACTGCGGGGATGCTGCAATGGCTGTAAGTGTGCGGACCAGTTGTAAGTCACTTTTTTCAGGGCTGTTGTAACTTCAAATGGTTGCTAAACAAATGGTTGTAAGTCAAGGACTGCCTGTGCTTCTGTTAGTGAGACCAGCATAGTCTGATGGTGAAGGAGCTGAACTAGATTCAGTCCATCACTCAAACTTTTTTATGGGACACAGACCCAGACTTGCTGGACTGGGAGTGGGGAGGTTCTGATCTCCCCTCTGCCAGAGAAGCTCCCTTTGGACCAGTCATTCTTTTTCTCAGGCCAACCTACCTCACAGGGTTGTTGTGGGGCGGACGCACCTAAAAAGGGGCTGGGCTTCGATTGCACAGCTGCGGTTTCTGTCTTGTCTTTCTGCACCCCCCTCCTGCCCCTCCTTCAGGTGCCCCCCCCATCCCAAACCCAGGTTGATTTGCTTCCCTCTGCTTTCCTTTACTTGCCCGGCCCCGTCATCTCTGCTTGGCGGCTCCTCCCCGTAGTTTCAAGTGGAGAAAAACCTCCTTGCCCCCCTCCTCAATGGCCTGAGTCTTCCTTTGGATCAAAATTCAGACCTCCATTATGACTGCAGAATCTGGAGACTCGTGCCTCGGTCGGGGTCTCTTTTGAGTCGGGTGCTTTCATTTCAGCAGCAGCTAAGAGGGGGACCGGAACGCGCGTGGCCAGGCATTCATTCCTGCAGCGGACGGTCATTTCCTGCTTTTCTTAGGAAATCGGAAAATGATCCTCTTCTTCTTTCCCAGTTCAAGGGAAAGGTAAAAGGGTAACAACCGGAAGCACGCACGCCCAGTTCCAGCTGCGATGGCATCACGGGTATCGCGACCTCATCATGCGAATGGTGCAGATGAAAATAGATGTTTTACCTTTTTTTAGTAACAAAACAACCTTTAATAGTTTTTTTTTTAAAAGAAACTTTAAAAAATTAAAAATAGGGACTACGAAGGGAAAGAAAAAAATGTATCTTATATTTTATACTTACCAGCAGTCACTGGATTATCAGTGAATTCACTACTATAATATGAACAAAACAAGATATCACAGAATCTCTGCCATAACAACTAGTTTTTTAAAGTTTCATTTTAAAAGGTGGGAATTGGGTACGATGCAGAGCAAGGCGCTGTCCATAGCATCATCTTTGCGGCCGAGGAATTCTCTGATCGCGCGATGTCCTGTCTTGCAGCAAAGTTTCCTAGGGAAGAAGCAGCTGCAGCTGGGTGTTTGACTTCAGGCCTGAAGGCATGACAAGGTCCAGGACCAGGATGCGAAACCTGCCTTGTGGTTCCAGAGGCCACCAGTGCGTCTCTGCATTTTTTTTTTATTTGCAGATGCCGGTGACATTCGTGGACATCGCGGTCTATTTCTCTGCCGAAGAGTGGAAGAACTTGGCTGAGTGGCAGAAAGACCTGTACAACAATCTCGTGAAGGAGAACTACGAATCCTTGCTAACACTCGGTATAATCATGCTATTGACAGCCGCCTGTCTCTTATGTCCTTATGTGCATTTATGGAAATTTAATGGTAATGCAGGTAGTCCTCGACTTACAACCACAATTGGGACCAGAACATCTGTCGCTAAGCGATGCGGTCGTTAAGTAAATCATGCCTGATTTTATGACCTTTTTTGCCACAGTCATTAAGCAAATCACTGTCGTTAAGTGAATCCGACTTCCCCCATTGACTTTGTTGGAAGTCCCCTGGGAAGGTTGCAAATGGCAATCATAACCCTGGGACACTGCAACCATCATAAATACATCCCGGTTGCCAAGTGCCCAAATTTTGATCATGTGACCGCAGGGACCCTGCGACCGTCATAAGTGCGAGGACTGGTTGCAAGTCACTTTTTTCAGCACCGTCATAACTTCAAACAGTTATTAAACGAATGGTTGTAAGTCGAGGACTACCTATAGTTCAACCAGAACCAAAACCCACCTCCAAGAATTACCCATCCATCCATCCATCCATCCATCCACACACACATCTCACAAATGGCCCCCATGCACAGAAGCGGTCCAGAAAAATTCTGGAAACCGATGATGGTTCTTAGGCTGCATAAAGCTGAATAAATGTGCATCTCATCAGTGCGGAGGGGCTGTGCTAATCCTCACTATAACGGTCTAATTTTAGCCTGCTGGCACAAACACCTTTAGACTGAGAGCTTTTTGTAGCTTTCCTGCTAGAATCCTTAACGGCACCCCTGGAACTGAGGCTAGGATGCTTCATCCTCCCTCTGCGCCATGTCGGATGAACAACAGAGATGCAACGTTTCCAGTTATTTTGAAACGGTGAAAGAAAGATATCTTCTAGACTCCCAGTTTTTTTGGGTGGCAGTGATGGAAGGGTGCAGAAAAATGGGGATATTTTGAAATATGTCCAATATGTATTTTATGAGCTCCTTGTTTTAGCTCTGAATCAGTGTTTTTCACACTTGGCCGCTTTAAGATGTGTGGACTTC